TGCTGAAATACTATTGAAAGAAAGAGATTATCTTGTAACTGTGATTAAGTGCACACACTTCATTTATCCTGTTTTGTAAACAAGGCTGTTTTCATTTCTCTCAGCTGAAGCTGTTATTTCTAGTCGATGTGCACTTGAAATGAAGATGCCAACATGAACAAAACCTTTCCTTTTAGAAGAGATCTTTGCTCTGCTGCTTCATTTAAGTGATTTTGACATTGTTGTGGAACAGGAAGCTGATCTCTCAAAGGTACTTGGAGAAATATTTTCTTAGATAGCCAGCTTTTTTCCTGTCTTTAGGTCATATCACAGCATTCATTTTAGAATAGAAGCCAATTGAGAACTTTAAAAGAAATTGATGCTATGATATGGTTTGTGAGTTGCTATTTTTTCCAATGTTTTCTCAGACAGCCTTAACTCACCCTCTTTCCAGAACTTCCATGATAACTACCAGATAAATGAAATCCAAAATCCTGTTCAGTTTCCTCCAGCTCTACAGGGGCTCATTTGCCCATACAGTTCACACCTTACATCTTTTCTACCACAATGTTTCTTCTCTTACCTCCCTCCAACATGGGACCCGAGCTGGGTCAGTCACTGGCACCCCTGAACCCCTCCCAGGTTCAGCAATGCTTGCTAACAGGGTGCCACATCTGAGGCCACCACCACTAATCCACTTAATGGCTGTGACACTTGCAGGGCAAAGTGTGGCTTCTGACTCAAAAGAGAAAAATCAGTATTAGAGTTTTATTATCAGAGTACATCACATTTTCAATTGTCTGCTAAAAGTAAAGCCTTAAAGACAAAGAGTGCTGTGGGGGTTTTCATTGCCCATATAAAATTTTAGATGAGATACAACATGAACATTTTGGTGGTTAGAACATCAGTTTTCAGAATCAGGTGATTATGAAAGATTCACAACTTTCATTTCCTATCTTAAATTCTCATCTTCCTGTACCATTGTTATTAGTAAGCTCCAGAAGCTTAAAACTTGAGACAAACAAAAAGGTAGATTTTCTTTTTTTTTTTAATACAACACAATCTAAGCTAATAATCTCACTTCAAGTATTCCTAAAATTGTATTTGTTTCTAGTTGAAGATTATTATATACAGGTTTGGAAAAAAACAGTTTGAGTTCCCCATTTTATCTCAGTTTATTGAGCTGGATACAGCAATAATAATTATTTGTTGCTTAAATGGCATTTTGAGATATTACATTCCTGCATCTTCAGGTGTGGAATGCCCTTGCCCTAAGAGGCAGGGATTTGATTTTAGGCAGTGCTAAAGGGACAAGTGTGGCTTTAAGTAACTGGAAGAGTGGATTCCACCCCTCTGCCTTGGGGGATGTGCCCTATAAACCCAGGAAGAGTTGCTCCACCCCCATATCCCTTGTAGGGTGTCAGCCTGAGGTGTTCTGCCCTTCTTGTGTTGCAATTCATTGTATTCTGCATTAACCTCTCCTACTGGTTTGTGCCCCTGGGGCTTCTCCCTTGCTGTGTCCCTATTAGACCCAGACCCTAAACTCCACCCTGTCTCTACCCCATAAAACCATCCTGCCTCTGTTTGGGGTTTTCCATTTCTGGATTATGCTGGGTTAATTCCTGTGTTGGTGATGCCCCAACAAATGGATTCCCGAGTTTAACCAAACTGAGACCTGTCTCGTTGATTTCCCACATTGGTCACCCATGGCTGAACCATCCCTGGACATGGCACTTTTGCAACATGGGATGCAACTTCTGTATCTTCAGGTATTGCTTTTGAAACAGCTTCATTGTCATATAGAGCAACTCCCATTTACTCTAAGTGTGCCCTTACACTCATCAGAACAAAGGGAGCTTACAACTGTAAGTTTTATTTTCACTTGAACATCCCACAGCAAATCGACAGGAACAGAATCTGTCTCATCCTTGTCAAAGTGGTTTGGAAATAAAGGTGAGAAGTCTCATATCTACAAATAGTTCAGGTTATACATTTACTTCCAAGTCAAATTCAAATGAACACTTTCAGTGTTAAACTTCCTGCATGTTTTGTGACCTGGTTGCTGGGAAACACAGCCTTAGCACCTGCCACCCTGGGCAGGCACCCACGTACAAGGGGAGCTTGAGCTGGGACCAAATTTAAAAATTTGTGTTATAATTACATTATTTAAATTAGATTACACACAGAGTTGTGTTTCCTGTGCATGGCATATTTTAAGCTGCTTAAACAGCTATTAGGGTGATCAGCCAGTTTCATTTACAGTCATGCAGGTCACACACGTGGTACCCATCACAAGCTCATAGTGTGCATGTGAGTGTGCACTCAAGGTCCAGATGGATTTTCAGAGCCTGCTCTGAGTCCATTCCCACAATTTTAGTCACTTCTAGCTGGTTTAAAGTTGGCATACATATGATGTAGCTGCTCCTGTGAGCTCTGCATAGCTCAGCTCTGATCCCTTTAAACTACAAGGGCTAACAAAATATTTTTAAAAAAATCCAAAACAATCCACTAGAAGATGAATTTAGTGGGAGAAAAGTGGGGACCTCCTAAAAGTTGCCAGGTTGAGGGACTGGAACTCACAAGAGGATACAAGAAGTGTGGGATACAATACCTGAGAGAATATGGGGTTCGCCAACAATATTTGAGATTTTACAATATCCATGGGTGGATATTAACAAGTTACTTGAAAATAAAGGTACCTTATTTATTATGTTGTCTTGTTGTCAGTGAGAATGAGTGAGACAGACATATTAAAGAAATAAAAGTGAATGAGTATGAATGAATGAAAGTATATTTGTAAATTGTTGATTTAAAGTTTAACTTATTTTTTTTGGAAGGAGGTGGATTGTATTATATTGGAGAGGAAGGATTTTCTGTGCTGTGAAGAGTGGGTTAGGGCAGGGAAACAGAAGCCAGGGACAAACAGGTAAATAAATCCTGGGAATATGGGACAAAGAACCAGCAAGTTGGGTTCAAGGGAAAAAGGGAGTAAAAAGGTGCCAGTGGATATACCCCAAGATAGTCCCCTGGGAATTAAGTTAGCTAATTGGGATATTGATCTTTGTACAAAGGAAAAAGATAAAGATGATTCAATATTGTATGATAGAATGGACAAAAGAGGAAATAAGACCCAACCATGTCTATTGGCTGAGATATAGGTATTTTGATTTGCAAGGCTTTAAATATATTTGCAAATCCAAAAAGAACCATTTATCTGGAAGAAAAAGAATATGCCTCTTCTTGGACAGGAGACATAAAACCCCTGGGGGTAAACGTGTTTAAGATATCAGAAACCCTAGAGACAGAGCAAGCAGAGAAAGAGAAAGAAAGGGGCTGGGATCCCCAGGAAATATTGCTCCCCCTGTGGAGGCAGGTCAGCCTGCCAAGGCTTTCCCTTGGACAAATGTGCCCTGAGGGTGCTGTGTTAAGCTTATCTCAACCCTCTCCTGGAGAGATACCCCTTAGATGGGACCATCCTCACTTGTCATGGTGAGCTGTCCCACCATGCTTGGTGACTATGCTGATCCCTTGTAACCCATTGGTTTTCCCCCCTGTACAACCCTGGCCTTCCCCCATAAAAACCCCAGCTTCTGCCCAGTTCAGCAGGGAGGTGTCAGCCCTGGCTACCCTTTGCAGAGCTGCTGTACAATAAAGGCTGTCTCTGGAATCACCACACGACGCTCCTGTCTCTCTGAGTCGGCCCAGGATAACCTTGAAAGCAGAGCTGGAATCACTGAGCTGAAATCTCTTGCAGCCACAGGCTGCCCCTTGCTGAGGTTACCCTGTGGCCAGGGATTGCCAGAGACCTCCGAAGGCTGTCTCTTGCAGAACTACTCTCTCTGGGAAAGTCGTGGCTCCCCAGGTCAGATGAACAGACCTGGCCTGGCCCACCACACCTCCCCACTCATGCCAGGAGCCCCAGTCCCACTGCTAAGGCTGGGATCTCCATCCTCCACCATGCCAGGCACCCCCATTCCCACCCCTACCCCTCTTTCCTTGGCAGTTCCAGCTTCACAGCCAACTCCTGCCCCTGCTTCCCCCTCTCTCCCTTGGTGGTTCCAGCTTGTTGGGGGTTGAGAGTCCTTCCTTTTGTTCAGTCTCACCTATGGAATTTTTACCCATCAGCTTCGGGGGAAACCTGACTGCTGGTACTTGTTGTGTGCTTGAGAGAAACAGGGAGTTCGGCTGGGCCCAGGGAGGAAGGGGGCAGGGGAAAAGGGTGGAGGCAGCTGGGGGCTGGCTGGTTGCTTGGGCTGGAGAGTGAGAAACTCTCAGTGCTGTTGTGGCTTGGAGAAGGGAATTCACCATCACCCAGACATTCACCAGAGCTGCTGCTTATTCTTCTGCTTCTCTCCCCTCTTCCTTGGTGGCCTCGCACCTCCTGTCCTGCCGGGACGTGTGGCAGTGCCAGGCACCGCCATGGAGCTGCTGATCCACCTCAGCCACCGGCCCAGGATCTCAGCTCATCCCTGCTGTTCCAGCTGAGTGTTCCTCAGAGCCCTGCAGGAGCACCGGGACTGGCTGCCCGAGGGGTTTGTGAAGCAAAGCCTCTCCTCCATCCCTTCCCGTCTCAGCCGAGAAAGCTGTCACGGGGTCCCTGGTTCTGTTTTGTTGTTAATGCTGTAGTTATTGTTGTTTGTGTGCCCTGTTATACACACTAGTAAAGAACTGTTATTCCTATCCCCAGATCTCTGCCTGAGAGCCCCTTGATTGCAAAATTATAATAATTCAGAGGGAGGGGGTTTACATTTTCATTCCAAGGGAGGCTCCTGCCTTCCCTAGCAGACACCTGTCTTCCAAACCAAGACATCCTTTTACCCTCTGGTGTCCTGGTAACTTTAGAGGTGGAGCTGATAGTACTGCCTAATTTCTAGTCAATATTTGACATTTTGAAGCTGTTTTCTCTACTTATGACTTCGCCAAACTCCAAGTGTTTCAGGGGAGGTTTACCATTCCAGTTATCAGGCTTAGACACGATGCAGGGGGTTTTTCTTTAATTTGTTTAATTTTGTTTCAGTCCAAGGGAATCCACTCTTCCTGTAAAAAAAACAATGGGAAAAGATGTGGCCTTACTCTGGGAAAAGTAAACACACAAACTTAATGCTCCCTTTGTTGAGCAGTGCCCAAATCCTTCCTTATGATTCATATCCTGACATTTTTGGGAGACAGCTTCCTTCATGGAACAAAAGCCTTTTGTGGGGAACACAAAGTTTTGGCAAAACTTGGCCCAGTTGCAAAATCTTTAAAAAATTGGTTTGTACATATATGGACAATTCTTTCTAGGCTTCACAGCTCATTTCTTTAACTGCTTTATCCTCACTGAGACTGATGTAGGAGAGACTAAGCAGTCTCCCTGAGACTGCAAGTTTAAGCAAAGATCTCAGGAGAAGTGTTTGGAAATGGTACCCTGAAGCACACTTACCCAGAATGACTGGAAACTCAGATGGGAGAGGACACTGGCTAATGAACCAGGAGCTGGGGCTCAGAAGAAATCTGTGACTGGGTTGAGGGTGCAGAAAATAAGACTAGAAGAGGCTGGGAAATAAAAATTAGGTGGAGATGGCTACAGGACACAGAGACTGGTGACCCAAAGTCAGGAATCAGAATACCTGAGATGGAAAGGACCCACCAGGACGATTGAGTCCAGCTCCTGGTCCTGCCCAGGATACCCCAACAATCCCACCCTGTACCTGAGACCATTGTCCAAATGCTCCCAGAGCTCTGGTAGCCTTGGGGCTGTGACCATTCCCTGAGGAGCCTGTTCAGTGCCCAACACCCTCTGGGGGAAGAACCTTTCCCTGATATCCAGCCTAAACCTCCCCTGACACAGCTCCAGCTGTTCCCTCAGTTTCTGTCCTTGGTAACAGAGACCAAGATCAGAGCTGCCCCTCCACTGCCCCTCGATGATGATGAAGAGCAATGAGGTCTCCCCTCAGTCTTCTTTTCTTCAGCTGAACAAGCCAAGTGCCTTCCCTAGGAAAATGTTCACAACATGACTGGAAGCACAAGAAATTAAAAAGCACATGATGCTGTCTTCTAGGATGGGATGGAAGAGAGCTCACATCCTAAAACCAGAGAAGTTTCTCCCCTGTTAATGATCAAATTGACCATGAGTACAACGCCGAGCAATAGAATTTTGTTTTGGTTTAATCTGCTACTAAAAAAAACTTGAGTAGTTTCATAAATGTATTAAAAGGACATTATTAAAGTCAAAAAGCTTACTGTGAAGAAGACAGAAAAATGCCTTTGAGTATACACCAGTGACATGGAATTACATTGCCTTTGTTTTTTATTATGTCTTTATTTGATTTTATAACCCTGGTGATGCTTTTTAGTGCAGCCCGTGTATCTGTTTATGTGTGTGATACTCACCAGCACAGATTTCACATGGGCAGACTCAGGAATATCCTCTGTCTGACACTAGAGATGACAACCAGGTTGTGTTCAAAATTCCAGTATCACACTCAGCAGGTCAGAGACAGAAAACAAAAACCAAACCAAAACAGAAAAAGCACAGCAGGCAAAACACCTCCCACAAAAGTGGCCCCTTTATACCTGCATCCAAATCCAATTAAAACTTTGCAAAAGCATAATTCTGTAGCTCTTTCTCTAAAATTCATTTAAATTACCTTTGGATCAGGGCATCAATAAGATTTTCACCCTGCCAGGTGGTATTTGCTCACCAGTGCAGGTTTCCCATCTAGAATATCAGAAAGCCATTGACTAGCCATTGAGCAGGGGAAAAAGGGCCACTCAGAGACTTTGTCTCTTTGGATCTTACACATTCCTGCTAAATCTTTCATCTTGTCACTGAGAGTGCAGTGCTCCCCGTTTTTCTCTTGAAAGTCAGCAATAAGTTTCCTGGTGTAGTCTTGACGGGTTGTTTTCAGGGGAGCTCATAAATAATGGCTGCAGCTGAAGACCATGCACAGCTGTAGGCACATGTTGCTGCTATTAGTGTTAGAAGGTTGCCTTTTAAGGATCACATAAACACGCTGAAATAAATGTTTTTATCACACTGAAGCTGATGGAATGTAACCCCAGTTTCTAGCAGCAGGCTACACCTTATTTACAGTACAATATCTGGGAAAATAGGTATTCCCTACTTTCTTACTTTGGTAAAAACTTGTAAGCTACAAAATCTTCTGCTGATGCCCTGGAGGAGGAGCTGCAATGAAAGCCAGAATTCATGCCAGAATATGTCCTGCTGTGTGAGATGAAACAGAGAGGTGTGGCAGAAAAGGCAGGGTAGCCCAAGGTCACAGGGTGAGGAACCACAATCAGTGCCCCACGAGTTCCTGGAGGAAGATCTATTGCCTGCCCCAGAGTCATTTGTGCCTCTGGAAGCAGCTGCAGTGCTGAGTTACTTGTCTGGCCACTTGGGCTACTGGAGTTCACTTGGCACTCTTTGATTTCATAGGTGCCTCTCCCAAACCCACCACCACTGGATGAGTTTTGCTGGAGGGCTGCCTGCAAGTCCAGAGGATAATGGAGAAGGCATACACTTACAACCTTTTCCTCCTCCTCCTCCAGTTAGATTTTGTGGAAGTAGTGAGATACACATCCCAGCACAGCCGTGGCAAACTCCAGAGGAAAATGATGTCTTTATGCTTTGTGGGTGATGCTTTACATTTTAGCTTTCCAGCTTTTAGCTTTTAGCTTTTTTTTTTCTGCACTGCATTAGTATATAGCTCTGAACTTCATATAAAGTGTTAGCAAGTTCTCCTCACAGATTAGTTAGACAAAACAATCTTTCTCCAGCCTGAGAACCAAGGACACCATTGCAGCTTCAGGCCCAAAAAATATAAATGACAGCGTATTGAGGAGAACAAAATGAGAGGATGGGACTTCATAACCTGAGGCTGAAATTGTTCATTTAACATCAATATGTAAGTGGACCAAAATTTATAAAAGTGAGAAAATGTGTGACCCATGGTCCATCTCGGGTGTAGCCTCAGCCAGGCTCTTGTACTGCCCAAGGTGTATTTTTGAAGGCCTTTTTAATAAATATCTACTTTATTCCTTTAACATTGTCTAGCCTCTGTTCTAGGTAGCCTCTCAAGGCATCAGGTGTGCCAAAAGGGAGCTTCCCCCCAGCAGCAAGGCAACACCACATTGGTGGCTGCACTGCCATCCAGCCCATGGGCATGCTCCAGATTAAGCTGGGATGGTATTCATGATCTAGACCTGCAGTTTTCATCCTTCACTCAAAACACCCCCACAGAGTAAGAACAGTCTCCAAGGGTGTTGTGGCAGGTCAAGCAGTAAAGCAAACCTCTTGCCTATACACCTAAGTTCACTCAATAACAGGCCACCACTGGAAAATATTTAGAGGTCTCCAATTGAAAGATGTTGAAAACTCACTGATTTAGACTGACCAAGCAATTGCTCACCTTCTACAGAAAAACAAAAGCCACAGAAGTGTTGTGGAAGTGAAGTGATGTACTTGAAAACAAAAGTATTGGTCAGGACAAAGCCAAGTGAGCCACTTCTAGAGCCTCTGTCAGGTCAGGAAATACAGGCCTGTTTTAACTGGTGTCTTAAAGCCCAGACTGTGTTGATGTTCCTTCCTGTTCAGTCACAGCAGCTCCTCACTTTCTGGACATTTATAATGACACCCATGAGGGCAATCTGATCCCTTAGGAAAGTTGCACTCAACAAGTACAATGGCCCCAGCACTGTCATCACACTCCTTGCAAGGACAGGTCTGTCATTCCAGGGCTGCTGCAAGAGGCATTCACCCTCCAAGCTCCAGAAGAAATCCAAGTTGTTAATCCCTTTCAGAAGGCACCAGGGTGAGAATAAATGCAGGATGGTAAAAGCATTGTAATGTATTTGTGAAGATAACAAGATGAAGATAGTTGCAGTTTCTGCCATCAGATTTCAGGCATGAGCATCTGCTCCAGGGCTGTGCCCTCCAATACCTGGCAGCTGCATGTCTGCACAAGGATGAACACATGAGGTGAGCAGAGATGTCCAAGGAGGAGCTGCACTCTCAGCTGAGATGCTGTGCTGCCCTGCTAAGGAAACAGGGAGAAGCTGAACTTAATGGAGATGTTTTTCACTGCCCAGCTGGCATCACATCCGTGCTGCTATGACAGGCACAAAGACAAGTTCAGTCCTGATATTAACACAGGCCCCCAGAACAGAGCCATCCCAGGAGATAGAGACTCCTTCAGTAAATCCATTTCTCAACACCCAAGATTCAGCAGCAGAAACAGAGAACATCCTGCTCCTGAACACCTGCAGGATTGGAACAACCCAGCCAGTGACTCACATCTAGCCTTTCTACTTATAAAAAAACATAAACACTAATCACACTTTTCCTAAATTGGCATTTTTAAAAATATCCAAGACAGATGCTTTGTTTGTTCTGTAGCAGTGTCACCCAGCTTATGTAAGTGGGCAGAAATGGCAGAATCAGAAATTTCCAAACAAAGGCACTTTGGGGCCAATGTCACTCAGACATTTCATCCTTTCTTCACAGTTTATATAGATTTGTTACATTTTCTGGTTTAATTTGGGTGAATTGCAAGAAGAGATGTGAACTATCTTACAGTGCCATGTTCAAGTCTTTGTTTTGAAAGGGCCAAATTTCAAATTTCATGTGTGAAATCTTGAGGGACCAGGAGAAGCATATTCACCTCACAACTAAGTGTCCCTTTCTGTGTGAAAAATAACAATACCTCTCAAAGCAGCCAGCTAAGGCTTAATAAACACTCACAGGCCAGAATAAACTTAATAAGCCTGAACAGATGAAGACAAAGATAATCACAAAAGAGAAAGTTCTGCTCCTGTGGTGAGCTGAACCCAGGTGTGATCACCACAGCACCAGCAGCAGGGAAACCTCTCCCCAAAGCATCCCATGGGTTAGAGGAGAATCTCACAGCTCTGGGGACCTACAAGCTCCTCAGAAGGGCTGTAAAACAGATTGTACTTAACCAGCTCACACTTAATGCCCACCCAAGTGAGAACCAGAGCTTATTTGAGTTCACAGTTCAGCTTATAAAACTTCATGCTTCTGCAAAAGTATTCCCCAGAAGAATGCCTGGGGCCCTGGCACTTGACAGTTCTCAGGTGCACACTCCAGTGAAAATAATTTGAGGATACAAAGGAAGAGGAAAAAGAGGAAATCTCTTCATAGTGTTATATCTTTTAAGAGTTTCCTTATTTTAGATTGATCTGGTTCCCAAACAGGCAAGGATTAAAATGAAAGAATAAATCAACAGTCCATCAAAAATAACAGTGTGATTAGACCTCCCTAACTTTTGCTTTACTATTTTTCTTGCTGGTGGCCTCTTCAGCTCCATTACTTTGTCTTGTTATCCTCTGGCAAGGTGTGGGGAAAAATATCCATGTCTTGGAGAGGGATCTTCCTCCTCACTAATGCAGGCAAGGCTCTGGTGTGAGTTTTCAAATCTTGGGCATGGGAGAGGGAATTTCAAAGCAGTAACCAGCAGTTTGTTCCATCTTTTTTTTTTTCCATTGAATTTTCTCTGAATGCTGCCCACATACTGGAATATGTTCCCAAGAGCTGCTAACAGCAAGATGGTTCCTCAAAACAAGGAGCACTGACATGCAGAATAACTGCAGCAATGCAGATCATTTTCTCTTGTCCTACATAAATTCTTCCACTACAAATAAATTTCTATATGTTTGCATGCTTGGTTCCTTCACCTCAAACTTCTTCTCACAGCCTAAACTAAATACATTCAAAATTTTCCTTAGGGATCAAAACTTATTCTCTTTCAATTCACACTAAAAATATAGCTGACCCAGTTACTATTGAGATGCTCAGTCAGAAATCAGCTGGGGAAAGCAGGATGAATGACATTCTGGATCAAATGCATAATTAAGGCATACTAAATACAGTTGGCCATAATTTTTCAAAGGAAGATGATTTTATATAGCTTTTTGTAAATCAACATCTTTCAGTATTTTTTATGTTGTCAAAATTTTGGGGTTTTTAACTATCTCACATATTTAGAATATAGCTATTTCTACCAAGGCAGCTAGGAACTCTTAAGAAAAAGAAAAATAATCAAAGCAAGTTTTCAACAAGAAATTTATTTTTAAGTACAATTTTTTGTGGACTGTAGCTTCTCTCCCCTGGAATTACGACTGTATCAAAAATGGAAGCATTGAATTTTTCTCTGAAAACTTTCATCTAAACTTAATTGCTTTTTCCTCCTTTTTTCTTTAATCCCAAAAATGTCTTTAAAGTAACACTTATTTTTCTGATTAAATTATCTGCTTAACTGACATCTGCTTTCAAGGAGGTTATTTACAATTTTGGGGTGATTATCAGTACTTTCATTTCCCCAAAACTCTACATTAAACCCTTCCTGTTGGAACACTCAGAAGTTTTCCTTGCCCTCCTCTATGTGTGGGTGATATTTGGTCATGTTTTGTCATTTGATTGTGACACGAACAGAGTAGATTATTTTTATTCATTTTTATGAATTCTTCACTCAAGAAACAGAAGTTTTTGAAGAAGTGATTGAAATTCTGATTACAATTAACTTGTTTTAGTCAGAAGAAATTCCAAGTAGAACTTCCTTTAATCAGTTCAGACTAGTCTTAGAGTTTTGCTGGAAGTAAATTTAATCATGAAGACTTGAAGTCACATATAAATGTTTTCTGTTTTAACTAAAGTATCTCTTTATAGTGCCATCTTGACATTAACATTGCTTGGTTTCTTTGTCTCCAAACTATTCTTTTTATAGCTTGCTTGCACTTTGAGAAGGAAACAAGTTATTTGCAGAGATCTAGCCTTTGTAGCATGTGTGTGTGTCTGCATGTCTGTGTGTTAATCCACAAATTTTCACCTACTCTGGGAAACTGATCTTGGACCAAATCACAGGAATGCACATGGCTGGGTACATGGCAATTATTTTCTTGCTAAGCTTCAAATTTATTTAGATTAGAAAGATTCTTCCATCATTATAGGTATTCTGTCATAGGAAAAGAGTTGACTTGTCCCACCTGAGACAAGATAGCATTTAGATCTAAACCTCATTAATAAATTCAAATCCAGTAGGATGTAAGATATTAAATATTGAATTATCTTTATGTGTTTTATGGTCTTCCACCATAGCTTTATTTCCCTGTTAATTTAGAGAAATGGTTTAAACTTTATAACTTACTTTCATATTATTGAATATGATAAGCTACAAATTTTAGTGAAGAGAATTCAGATTCTTTCACTATCAATCTTACTGCAGCCCATATTGAGAACCAGTAACATCAGAAAGAAGCAAAAGTGGGACTTACAGCCACTTGCATAAATTAGGACAAAATTTAGGCATGAGATTGATATTCAAACTAAACTTTTTCAGAAGACATGGAAAATCCTATCATTTCTGTTTTCACCTCTCCTGGGTGCCAAATAAACAAACTTCAGCAGCTGATACAAGAGAGAATCTGTTCAGATGCTCCTTTGGTGAGCAGAGAGCAGCAGAGTCCTATGGAAATTAAAGAATTTCTCTAGTGCTACAAAATGTATTGAGAAGGAATCTGGGAAACAGAGCACTTGGAAGCAGAACAAGGGGACAGGCAGGCTAAAGAAATGAAGTTATCAAAACATGACAGTACAGCAACAAGAGGGATATACACTAAGCTGATGAAAAGCAGCACAGAAATAGGGACGAAAGCTGCTTGTCAAATTTAACTACTCAGTAGGCAAGCATTTGGGTGGAGATTCTCCAAACAGCAGGCATCTGCTGAGAGAGCATTTGAACTTCCTTCTGTGGCTGAAATCCCCCAGTGCTAGCTGAGCTAGTCTGACTCTCTGAGCTGCACAGGGAGTGCAGGGTTGCCCATGTGAGCTCTCAATTTCCTGCCTTTTGTGAGTTATTCTATCACTGTAGGTTTTTTGTTGGGACCTTTTTTCCACATATACACAGAGATTATGATTCTCCTCACAGAGCTGCAAGAAGTAAAGAGAATACTGGCTGCCCTGGCTGTATTCCTTGATACACTTTGTGCAGCTTCTGATTGCATTCCCATCTCTCCCATAGCAGTCTCCTGTGCACAATGAGGGAAAAATACAGGCAGCAGAAAAACCACTCCCAGAGCACCAAGCTTTGACCAGCCCTTGATTACCTGTGACACACAAGAAGTGGTGGGTGGTCTAACAGTGACTGTCATTGGCCAGTGAATACAAATTTCATGTTTGGGTGTCCTTAGTGCTGTGGAATTTTATTTTTTTTTTCTGCTGGAGCTGACTTTTGAAGGTGGCTTTTTCTTGAGCAGCCCACACAGAGCCATGCCTGCTAGGAGGCAATCAGCAGGAATTAGTGCAGGTGCTTCTCTTGGCTCCCATCCATGGGAGCAGCTTGGAGCTCCTCACCCTCCGTGCCAACCTGGGAAGACTCTTCTCACAGGGATGCACTGTGCTGCTCAGCTCCTCTGCACAACATAATTAAGACTTATGCAAAGTCAGGTTTTTGCCTGGGCAGTGTTTAATTTAAAGCTGACTTTTTGCTGCTTTTGGGGAGCAAAAAGTTATTGTCTTTTTTGCAAAAAAAAGCAAAAAAGTTACTATCTCTGTGTAATGCACAAGAGCAATTCAGCTCCCCACCTTTTTGCTGCTGATCAATTGATCTGAAACATTGGTGTGGTCATTCTGCATTTCACATCTTTGGGAACCAGAGCTGGGAAAGTAACAACTGTACATGTTTCAGTTCCAGTTTTTGTAAATTAGTCATGGGATATACAGATTTACCATGCAAGTAATTCCAAGATGAACTGGTAAGAGGAACAAAATTATTTTAGAGTTTAACAGCATCACTGTGTGCCCAGCATCAACAGCCCATGCTTAGACTATCATTACCTGATTTTGAAGAGACTTAAGAGACAAGTGCATATAGATGGAGCAGCTGAGGCAAAGTGAGGTTCAGAGATTTCCAAAGTAGTTCAATGGATGCCTTGAGGAAGCTAGGAAGGAAAACCAAGTCTCCAAGATAAAACACCCCTTCCCTTTATGGCCCCTTCATTTTCATCTCCTGATTACTGAGAACCCACAGTTCTGAAGAGTTGAAAGTTATGAGATGGTCAAGGGCTTGAGGAGAAGGACTAAGTCAGTCCTATGTATAAATCTGGTGCCTCACAACTGTGGCTGACATCCCTAGGGCTGATACTTAAAAATACTAGACATACCACAGGGAATGTGTCAATTAGAATATCTGATTCCTCACAATGTTACTGCAAGTAATCAGAGTCCCATACAGAAATACTGGAATACTGATTTTAATTTATAGTTGAATTACAACTTGTGTTTTGTTTCCCACACTTGGTTCCTAAAGATAGACATCAATTACAGGAAAGATGCTCTTAAATGGAAAGGGATACAAATAATGCAGGAGTTGACCATACAGAGCCCTTGCTTGCTGACAAGTCCAAAAAGGTAAATTAGGGTAAAAACAGGCTTTTGAGACACTGAATTTATACTGCTGGGCTGGAAGAGTGTGTTAGGTGAAGTGATAGCAGGAAGTTTCAGACATCCTGGTAAACTGGAGGGAAATGCTGCTGCTGGAGCATGGGCACTCTCTAGTCCACACACCAGTCCAGTTCATCCCTTGCCTGCCCCCACACTGCCAGGCCCTACCCCAGGACACACACCTGCTGTCTAAATCACAGACACAGATAACTGGCAAGTTAGGACTAGAATTTGGGCAAGAAAAACCTTAATGGTGACCATGAGTTTCCAAAACAGGGAATTTCATGCAGTACCCAGAGCCGGATGATGCAGCAGGCACTACTCTCTCCCTTCATTCTCAAGCTGTACATAAGCTACAGAATAGAGTTTCCTTAAAGTAATGGATATGTCAGAAACTACTTGTCACAGTAGAACTACATTTCCACACAGCTTAACTGAAGCTGCAAGAAAAATGGTAGGTTGTCCTTCATAAATATATTGAACTGCAGAAAAGTCTGACTTACATTCATTTTGTGAACTTTAAGATGACTGTTTCTATCTCTACACCTACATATGTTCCCACACAAAATACTGCACTAATTTACAGTAAAAGAAAACAGAGGGCTGTATCCTGACTAAGACTGTACCTAAAACATAATAGAAATTGTAATAATCAGAGATGCAGAAAGTGCAGAGCAGAAAGATACATTGGGGTAGAAGGAATAAATGCATAAAACTGACTAAAAATTTGGTTTGTGAGGGGAGTTTTGGTTCTGTTGTTGCAGTTAGATAGGGGAACGGGCAAAAGAGAGCCACACTCCATGATATGGCCAAATCTTGGTTAACATAAATCAGAATTAAGACTGATATGCTAGTATAACTTTCATTACACACTTATATCTGATTGTCTTGATTTAGAATATTATATGAAATGTAGAAAACAATGTAGAAATGTAGAAAACGTTGGGTGATCAAGTTTATGCAGGATTTTTCCATCATTTCGCTGTGGGCTTTTTTTTTTTGTTTACAGTACAGCACCAATTTCTGATTATTGTTGGGTTATTATTTTCATTCTTCATTTTTTGGAGAGCAAATTCCAGATTCATTATGGTGTTTAGGTAAAAAGGAGGGATTTTAAAAAGAGCCTTCTCTAGGACATCTGCATTTTTACATTCTGTGCTGCATATGTAAAGCTAGTAAAGGAGATTTTAGGAATTTTTCCACTTACATTAGTTACAATACTCCCTCCAAGCAAAGCCACACACCAAAACCCCAGAGATATGGCAGCTGGGTCTCCCCATTTCATTACCTTTTTTGGGATTCATGGGATTTTTATCTTCATTTTTCACAGATCTGCCACAGAGAGGCAGGAAGGCTTTGAGGAAGCCCCATCACTGGGAAATACTTCTATTCTCCTAATTTACTGAATGCAAATAATGATACTTCCTTCATGTGCTGCAGTCCTGTAGGAAAAGCCACAATAATAAAAGCCCAACCAGTTGTTACAATTAAAAGAAATTTTCTATGCACAGCTGTTGGCTAAAAGAAACATCACAAAATCTTACTGGCTGCATCTCAGTGGTCCCAGCTAAGACTCCCCAGTATCCATGAATTTCAAGTTATGCTGGTTCTGAAAAACAAAAAAGCAACAAGGCAGTGACTTTGGTCTTCTACACCAAGATCAAACCACCACTGCCCTGTAACTCAAAATGCTGCCCTAGTAAGTTCACTCTCTGATTTTACATATGTTCAGGAAGCACTGGCAACGGTCCAGGCAGGTTTTTATTCTACAGCAAGTATTCTCTGTCCTCCTGCAGCTGGGGCAAAGCTGGAATAAGGTGCTCTGGCTAATCTGATGGAAACAAAGTGATATTTGTTTAGGAGCCACTGGACCTCAGTGCTGCAGGTGACCAAGTCAGGCACAGAATGTTTCAGCTCCACAGGTGGCCAAACACCCTGTGTAGTGTAACCTGTGCAAGGCCACACCTGGTTTGATATGTTACAGGGGCCCATGATAAGGCCCACTGCCCACAACACTCAGGATAAACCTCCAGTCTTGGCACTCACAATGTCACTGAATGAGAACAGGATCAAATGGATCATCATGTTGAATTTGCTGTAGTCTGCAGTAACACAGTTCTCCAAACCCACTGAACATGGCTTTTTGGCTTGAGAAGCTCAGCTGTATCATACAGTCAGAGAGTGAACTTGGAAAGAAAAGACAAAAATCCCTGACAGATTTTCTCTGGATACCAAGAGCTACATGTTTCTACTCCCTGCAAAACTGCTTTCCCTGCAGCCATCTAGTGGAATGCCCAGAATGTTCCCAATCAGGGAAAAATGAAGAGAGGGTTATTGCAGGCATTCAGAAGATCCTAGTACAAATAGAAATCAAGCAGGCAGAAGCCTTGCTGAAAGTCTTCCTAAAGCATCATTTTCAGCTACACAGTAGCAACTTTATTAGGCAAACTCCTCTCTTTAAGAAAAGATAACATCCCAAAAGTAATAGGCTGGTTCCTCCTATCATCTTGGCTCTACTTTGACATAACTCTGTTCTACGTTAATGAGCTTATTTCTGATTACATAAAGGTAAATGAGATGGGAATGGGGCACATTATATGTATATTGAGCTGCTTTCTTAAGCAATGGGGTTTTTTTCATACCCAGAGACTGTCTATTTGAGATAGATGTAACTAATAGAAAAGCTAACTCAGTGCTTGATGGATCCTCGGTTTGTTCCTACCATTAGCACAGGTGGCCCCAAAGGACTGAAATTTCCCCGCAGCTGTGAGGAGGTGTGTACTGATCCATTCAAGAAAATCCCTACTCTCTTAGAAGGGCAAAGGAAATTCACAAAGTACTCTACCAAATTAATAAGGAAACCATGAGGAACAAGTAGGATATTTCTTTAGCTAACTACAATAACTAAGTGAGGGGACAAAACAGAGTCAGGTCACACTGAATATACCAGGCAAATCTCTCTCTTTTCTCCACATACTAATAAAACAAGAATGCAGAGATGCACTAGCTGTCCTTTTCCTTGGTTCCTTCTTCACTCCAGAACTTCCATTTTAATTGCCAGCTGGGTTCACAAGAAACAAGTTACTCTGAAGGGCCGTGAGATGCTTTCTTGAAGGGCAGCAGTGGTTACTGAACATTAATTCTGCTCCTACTTCCACTCACTTTTCAGACTAGAGCAATTTACATCCATGTTCCTCCCACAGTTTTTCTACCTCTAAAAACAGAAATGGCAGGATAAAAAACACTAGAAATCGGAATTCTTTTACTGTAAGGTTGGTCTCATCATGTAAATTTTGATGTTACCAGTATTGTCCTGCTGAAATACTTCTCCATAAGACAAACGTTAACAAGTAATCACCTCTTTGTGACCTTGTCCAATTTACAAGTGCTGTGAACTCTGATGTTTTCACACCTAGGTCTGGGTTATACCAAAGCATTAAATGACAAGAAAATATGGTTGAATATTTGAAAAGCTTTTTGAGGATAAAAGGCACCCATAAACTGCAAAATGAGTGTTATTGAATCTATGCAGAGCTGAACTGGAAAGGCAAAAATACCAGTCTTACCAGTACTTTCATATCATTGAAATTAAACATTGACTTAAAATTCATCATTTCAGCATGATTCCTCATGTTGAAAACTGTATTTCTGAATGATGCCAACAGGGCAAGTTTCCCTACATAGGCATGTATATGAATATATACATTCCTATACAGGAAACATATATGAAGGTTTCAGACTGAGAAGCAGGAGATTCATACTGCTTTATTCTGAGTTCCCTTTTACTCCACAAAAAGCTGGGATAACTGGACAGACTTAGATCGTTTGAAGAGCAAGTTACTGTCTAGGTGAAGCTAGGACTGTAGAATTTGTCCTTAAGTGGGTGAGTTTTATTTATACATGGAGCTCTTTTTCCCACCCAAGATTGGCCCTTAATAGAATCAATTATAGATTCTCAGTTATTCAAGGCTTTTGGTTGCTTGGATTACAAAGGTCTTGGGTTTTATTTTTCTGAATTCCTAGGGTTTACTTGCACAATTCCCATTAATACTGATGTGAGTAATATATCTTAAAAATCCCAAGGCACACAAAAAAAGAATAGACTCCTAAGTGAATGTTCATTATCAAATGACAAAGCTGTAGTCTTTGCAAAAGCCAGCAAAGAGTACTCTGTTTTTATGCTTAATAAGTATCCTATTATCCATTTAGTTCAATTAAATTGAATGAGTCTAGTTTTTCCAAAGCCTTTCACTTTGTCACAGTGAGTATGGGAGGCTGACAAGAAAGATGAGCCACTGTGAGCTCTTGGGTTGTTACACTGATCTCTCCTGTACCTCAGTGAGAGCTGGATCCACTCATTAGCAGAAAGGAAACAGGCATGACAATGGCCCCCAGTAGAGCCCTTGAGGTATCAATCTGACAATGATCCCATTGTAAGTTTCTTGCCATCAAAATGTTTTTATTCTCATCCATTACTCAATCTTCAGGGACTCAGAAAACAAGGAGGAAATGGCTCCCTTCTGAACTGCTCTGAGGAATATAAGACAGTGCTGAAAATTTAAGCCAAGAGATACAAGTTTTTTATATGCTGCTTAATTCTCAGAAATTGATCTTACTGTTTTTCCACAACAGTGCCTTTTTCTTTTATGAGACATTGCTTGTCTTTTTAGGACAAGCCCTCCATGATGCCACAGAATGGGACACAAATACACAGTGCTTTCCATCCAGAGGTTTCTCAAGCATCAGTGACACCACCATGAGTTAGTTAATCTTGTCCTACCAAGACAGGCAGTATTTGTAAAGAGGGAATGCAAAACAATTAATGATTTCAATAATATTTCAGAGTATTTTAGTTTAAGCTAAAAGGTGGAGTGTAGGGGCAGAATTCTGCTTTATCACACCTAATTTTTCATATTTCATGTGCAAGCAATTCATCCAGCATGCAGAAGACCAGAACAATGGAACCATCATTATAGACATTCTGTGCTGGAAGGGATTCACAAGGATCATCAAGTCCAACTCTGACCAGTAGCAAAAATCATACATATATATATTTTTTATTTAGTAAATTATCCAGTTTCTTTAACTATTGAAACTCACATGTATGCAGTGGAGTGTCCCTGGTCTTTAGAAGCCCCCTTAATATATTGGGTAATATATGTTAAAAAATTGTTTGGGGTTTTTTTTTTTAAAGTGATGTATATCATAACAGTAACTTCTGAGACATTACAACATCTCTGGTAAGCCACAAGAAACTAAAAAATTACATTGGTAAATACAGACACACTTAAAGATATGGCCTATATATATGTATATAAACACATACCTGATATGAGTATTGGAATTTATTGCAGGGATTGAATTTAAAGGTGTTGCCCTACCTCACATACAGTTACTCTGACACTATCATGTCTTCTCCCAGGTACTACTGTCCTATGCCAAGGAATAAGCCTTATTTGAGAAGTCACAATTTATTTTAATACAAACGAACATTCAATAAATCAACCCCAACCTTCCAACTTCTGTGGAGGTACTCCAAGTGTGCAGGTGTCTTTTGCTCATTAGAGCCAAGTGTTCATGTATTCTCACACATGGAATGTATATTTGTCTCCCTGCTCCTGGCACAAAACCCACCCTGCAGCCTGCACACAAGGTCCTTCTTGATTTCCCTCATGAGAAGTGTTTAGCATTCTCCTCTGCCCTCTCCATTGCATTTAAAAACCTTTTCAGTCTTCAGTGATTCAGACCAACTCTTGTCTTTATGCATATGATAATAACCTAAAAGCCAGAGACTCAATAAAAGTTAAAACTTCTGAAATAAATTAGTTTATTAATGGGGACTAAAACAACACACAGAGGTATAACAAGATCAAAACAAACAAAATCCCCTCCCCAAAAGCAAACCCCAAAAAAACATCAGCAGAATTTCAAACACAATTCCAAGTCTGGATAGGTATAACACCTCAAATCTGGACACAAATGATGTGTCAGGCCAGTTTTATGAGTTTAAAAGGTACTGCTGCTTAGGAGACTGAATTTACTGAATATTGAAATAAATGCAAAGACTACCACTGTCATCAATGGGAATTGTATTGATCTGAAAATTAACTAATAATCTAGAACTTAATCACTGTTGTGTATTTAAATTTTATCCTTGTCAATGTGTATTGGCCATGTCAAAATACTGATTTTCAGAATAAATATTCTTGCCCAGATTCATACTCCTTTTATTTTTTAATCAGTTCCTACTATAAAGAAATTACACTTTTGTGTAACACATTCTTCACAATACTTTTAGCCGATTAAAGGAAAGAAATAAGGCTCAAATAATTACATTAATAAAATCAGAAGACTGAAGTCCCATGGTCACATCAGCCTGGACAAAGATTATTGAGCAGTAACTGACATTGGCTAGATTGAATTTATATTTATATGTGTTTGGATTAAAACTTTGAATTTCCTTTTCTATCGTTCATCTGCCAGGAGTGATTGTACTAGTAGTTTTTCTTATCAGCAAGTTGTGAACCAATATCAAAAGTATTTCAGGAATATATACTGAAATCAGGATTCATTTTGTTACTTTGAAATCCCATTTTCTTCCACTCTTCCATGAAAGTTTCAATAGTCCACTAGGAGAGCAAAAGTAATGCAACACAGACTGGGCTCCTTAATACACATCGAAGAAGGCAATCAAGGATGCCAACTTTCCAGTGACCCTTGATTTGACATGAATTTTATAAAAGTACTCAATTTTGGGCAACAAACAAGCAGAAGTACCACAACATATTTTTTGAACAAAATTCTAACATACTAAAGGAAAATGACCTGCCAGAAGTATTTTTCAAAGCTCTAGTTCACCTGGGGTGAGATGCAGAGAAAATTGCTTTGATCAAACTGCAGCATATTTCCCAGCGTGGCTTCAGTACATTATTTGCTGAAGGAAACAGCGATCCAGAAATTTAATTCCAGATCTCAAACTGGACTTAAATTAAAAACAAGCAAACAAACAGAAGCTGAGGAAGGCTTACAGAAATAGGTGTAAACTGTTTAGAAATAGATGCAATGATTTAACACCCCTGGTACAGTTTTCCAGTAGTCTTTAGTGAATGAGCAAAAATAAAGGCTTACTCATACGTAGTAATGCAATGCCTGACCCAGTTTGCTGTTCCCTAAAAAACAGTCTAAATAGCCAAAAAGGCAAATTCAACTATGTTTATGGCCCATTGTTGTCTTTTCTGGAGGCTACAACTGAGTAATTCTTAGAACATTCCTTATTGTAAGCATTTGAAAGGAATAAATGACTGGGTAGGAGTGTTTACCTGAGCACTTATGTTTTGATCAGTTGGATTCAAAGTCATCTTTGGCAGAAAGGCCACTTCCAGTCTTTCAGTATGCAGCTGAACACAAGTCATTTTGGCAAGTAACTACATACAAGCCTCTCCTGGCTATGCCTGAGGAACCTGTAGCTTTCACAGCACATCAAATTTCTTTTGAACAGGTTCTGGAAGCTTGTACTGTTATGGTCAGAATTGTATCAGAAGTTTGATAGAATTTAGAGCTTTAACACTCCCACTGACAGTAGCTATGATCCACAAAAAGCCTGTAGTCCCAGTCTTGTGAAAATTATATATGCCATGAATGCACAGGTTGAGATACAATATAAACTTCATGAAAAAATCTGGCTGAAGACAATAATGAGAATTTCACCCATACAAAAATTTCTGGCTGAACAGAATTACAAGAATTTCAGCCATATGAGAATTTTGGGCAGAACAGAGGAACATGGAGGCCCTCTGGAAGGGGCATCACAGCTGTCCAGCAGACTCCAGCTTGCAATGCACTTGTGGTGCTTCCCCTTATTCTAGAAGTGCAAATGCTGAAAGAAATGGGCTTGTAACTTTCCTTTTCACCATTCTACTGCAAGGATGAAAAAGGTCTCTTTCATGCATTGTTGTCCAGCTTCTTGAAGGAGAAGGTTTGTATTTCAGAAATCAGCCCTCTTACTTCATGCTGTGCCATGGGAGATGCTTGTTATAGCAAATCCTTCCACTCAACTGCCAACAGCACAAAACTGATTTACTATAAATATCTTACCAACTTTTTGAAAGAAATAAACCGAACCTCTCTCAAAGTAACATGAATATCACAATACTACACAGTATTACAGGAAAGTGTAAGCAATAGAAAAAAATTAATTACAGTCATGGAATATTTGAATCATTTTTTTACATCTATTCCCAGAGCAGTTGTGTGAAAAGCTGCAGAAAATAGCTGTTCTTCAACCAGTGAATGTGCTTTTCTTTGGTTAATTGATGCAATTAAAAGTTTACTTGGGAAATTCCTTCTGTATTATTTCACAAGGGCAGTTAGAGCACAGTTATACTGAGGATATGAAGAGAGACTGGGCTTTCTAAATAAATGTACTTGTTTTTCAGACAAGGGAAAATAACTTTGCTCTTCTAAGAGGCAACATAATGTAATCCATAAATCTCTTCACTTTATGGGCAGAAGACTCAGTTGTGAGCTACTTTCTATCAAAGGAGTACCCAGAAAATTTGCAATCATACACTGAAAATCTTGTCTTTAAACCTTTCAGGATAGGAAAAATAGAAAGAAAGCACCATTTCATACATTTTGTGTCATGATTGTACCATCACTTAATCTCTGTATAGGTACATATATGGCCAACCCATTCTTTATTTCCTAGCTGAAAAAAATTACCACCACAATTTCAGATGATGAAATGGCCAAGACCCAGTTCAATATCTTGTGTACAGAAACACCTTTCTTAAAGTAGCTAAAAGCCAGTGGAAATGGCCACTCTATATACGTAGCAAGTGATGAACACATGAGCCTGTCCACTTACAGTTTTGGCTTCTAAGATGAGCGCTGAAAATTTGTGGTAAATGTGTTTTTTTCTCTGCTGCAGATCCAAGAGCTGGGTCCATTTTCCTTAATACACTAAGTATGTTGCTCCAGAAGGAAAAAAAAATTTCTTCCAGTCATGTGTTGCTACTCAGTGGTGTTACAGTTTGACTCATAAAACCCTAACAACTATGGAAATTCTTGCAATTCAACTAGTGAAATTTGCATTCATAGAAAACATACTCCATACACAAAACTCCCTGTTGCTTTCAAAACTCTTTGTGGACCGAAAGCAACACCACCAATGACACTGAAAATTTCACAACTGACACAAAAATGTAACATTTTCCAGCAGTTTATTGTGGGATATGTCCTTAAGGGGGAAAAAAAGTCATAAAACAGCATTCTGTAAGAACCCACTCACCTTGAGACAAGATGTTTATCAAAACACAATGGAACCTCTTAGTAGTCCCTTCTCAATGGCACTTGGTTACATGTAAGAGAGAAAGTACCAGGTTAGTCAATAACTTTGTACTTTGCATAGGCTGAAGTTAATAATAATAATAATAAATAAATAAATAAATAAATACATACATACATAAATACATAAATAAATAAATAAATACAGTTAATTTTTAATTATTGGTTATTGTGATACTGTATTTTATAGGTGTCCTGTTTTAGGGATGGCACTCCCCAGGTAAGTACTCCCCCTCCCCGAGACTCCCAAACCAGACACTGCTTGCTCACTCTCCCATTCTTCTCCTGCCTTTTCCCACTCTGGGGATGGCATTGAGAATTGCAGGATAAAAAGGTGAAAATTACAGGCTGAGATAAGAACAATTTACTGGAAGCAGAAATGAGATAAGAAAATTGAACTGCAACAGCAACAATATTAATAACAAAAAGTATAACGCACAAAACTGATTCACACAGAAAAACTGACGAAGTGCCAGCTGGCTCTTCCTCCCCACACCACTCTGGATGGGTCACTGAAAGATCTTTGGACTTCCCTTGGATGATGCTGCTTTCAAGGCATGTCTAATTTATTTCCTGGAAACAGTAGATTTGATGACCAAGAGATTAGTATTCACTCCTGCTCTAACTCTTCTGTACTCCTCCCAACATTGTCTTCATCAGTTTGAGGGGTTACTGCCACTTCAGCAGTTCTGAGACTGCAGTCTTGGCAGGTCTGGAGAAGGATCTAGCTGAAAATAATTCTAAGGGAGAAAGCAGTAATTGCTGAAATAATATCAAGCCCAAACAGTCAAGTAATATATGTAATAATCTCTAGCCTATGACAGACTACAAGCTATGCTAACACAGCTGATTTTGCCAATCTGGGAGCAAACTGAGCCAAAAGAATGGCAACAGTTACAATCTGAAGTCAGACTAAAATAATCTCCCTAAAGAAATTCCATAGAAAATAAAGAACATTGATTCTGCTGTGGGATCTGAAGAAGCAAAATTTCTTTTACTCTGCACCACAGAGCAGTGGTCTTAGGGTAAGAAAGACAGGCATGTAGCTCTTTTACTGCATTAAAACATCTTTCTCTTGTGTTCTGCTCTCTTCTGGCTACAAAGATTAAGTAAATTGGTTTAAGGAAGCTACTGGGCACTCCAGCACAAACTCTGGCAGGTTTCTGATCTGAAGGCTGCTGAACTTGGAGAGGATGAGAATCAGCAGGCTCTACACTTCAACATAAAATGCTCTCTTCACCCCAAGGTTGTGTGGAGACAGCAATGTTAAACAAAATTAAAGGTTTTACATTAAAAATATTCAGTGTATATTTCAGCTATGGTTAATGCAGACAACTGCCCCAGCACTAATGATCCCTTCAGTTAGTATTAAATGCTTCTTTTATTTTCACAAATACACTGAATATCCAAAGCATTTGCAATCCCAGGTGCACAGCACACAGTATTTTTAGCAAGATTATTTAAGTTGTCATGCACTTTGCACAGGGATGACTGATGCAAGTGCATCAGCTGTCAGAGGGTGGTTGGAGAAAAGGTGGCTTTCCATGGACAGGCACAACTGGCACATCAGTCAGGACCAGGTACTAACACACAGATCACCACTCTCATGAGGAAAAAAGCACCATCAAGAGTCCTTCAGAATAAGAATATTACAGGACTGATGTAGTCACATTAAAAATGGACAACACAGCTAAGAAGAGGCTTTTTATTAAAGCCTATTATTTGGCTTAGTGAAAATAATAGCTTAACTGCTGCTAAGTCTTTTTCCTACCTGTACAACATGTAATTTCAAGTATTTCTAGATGTGAAATGAGGGCTTTATTATCTTGGATTATGAAAAATAAAGTAAAATATGAGAGTAAACCATTATGTTTCCTTTTTTTATACCTGAATCACAAGGACTTAGAAAACGTCTTGTACAATAGCTATGAATACTGTTTTCTTGGAATATTTGATTGTGACAAAAGCAAAGAGCAGTTTCAAATAATTCAGATGGCAAATGAAGCACCCTTAAATGTTGATTTCCTTAGAGTACTCATTTTAGCATTTATTTCAAAATTATCTTCCAAAAATGCTTGTTCTCCTTTCTTAAAGAATTCTGAAGTTTATAATTTGTCTCATTTCTGACACTTATTAGTTATACGCATTGTGTCGAATCTCCAGCCAGTCTGGCTGCCAGAAGAGAATCTATCCTCTCTTGGGGAAAGGCAATGGATTCACGCTCTACCTACAGAGGCCCAGAAATGGCCTCAGCTGTGTGGATGATGGATGGAGAAACAGGTGACAGATTTTGCAGCAGCCCTTGTCTTAATTATCCCTAATTCAAATGAAGTCCATTCATAGTGTAGCTCATGATTACTGAGATGAGAAGACAAATGCAATGGCATTTCAGCAAAGACAGCACCAGACTTTCTGCTGTGAGAAACGACCCTCACTTTTTAAAATTTCAAAGGTATATTAAAAACCTTAACAAAATACAACAAAAGACTGAATAAGGAGAAAGAGCAGCACTGGGCATCACCATGACCAACAGCCACATGCCCACCCACAAAAATAGCTGCTCCTCCTTTTATACCTTTGGTGTTGCATCAGGCAACCCTGGCCCCGCCCAAAGTCTGCCAATCAACTCTTCTTCACCGTCCATTGGTGGAGACTGCTTTCTTGCAACTTGATTGGAGGTCAGGTGTTGCCATGCCACGCCTCCTAGTAACAACCCTGCCTTCCTTCCAAATGCCCCATGCAAGGGGCAAAGGTACATGGCCTCCCTCCACATGTCCCGACTACCAAGGCCATGCACAACAAATCACAATAATATATCAATATATCTTCTCTTAACATAAACATAATATTCTTCTCTTAATTGTGAGAGCACACCATCACTTTAGCCATCTCTTACGCTTCCTAGCTGGTGTTAGATGAGCAGTGGAAAGATCCAGTTAGTTTAGTTTTTAAGAAAGATCACAGAGCACATTTCATGAATATACAAAATAAAAACTCCCTCAAATTTTGTGTTTAAAAATCTCTGATGATAAGGAGAAAGTTACTCTTTGGAGTAGGGTAATTGTTAGGAACAAGGCTAAAGTTGGTATTCTTTTCCCTAATGACAGCACATGAAAGTTTCTGTTGTCTCTATAAAGGAGATGTGTAATGGCACCTCCTTGCTAAAAGAGATAAACAAGCAGAGAAGTCAGCAAAACAGTATTACACAACTTTTACTGGACAAAATAACAATCAAAATACATGTTTTGATTTGGTAGGGGAAAATATTTTCCCCTACCAAAAATAATTTATGGATGTTAACTCTCATTCTTTGGGAGACCAAAGAGGAGGGCTTTTGTTGGGGGTTAGGATTTTTCCTTTTGCTTCCTTCTCTCATGAAATTTTGTCCCATATGTTGCTAAGAAACAGTAACTACTGATACTTAAGAGAACAAAAGATCTGGCCCCGGAGGAGGAGGGGGAAGTATGCAGATGTGTTCTCTCTTACCTGAGGGCTTTTCTCTTGGGAAGGGCAGAGTAACTGTGAAATTTTGGCTGGGGCTGAGGGGCTGGGCTGGGCCGGGCTCCTCTCACTCTCTTGCTGTTGAAGGAGAAAGGTTGAGCTGTTGCTTCCAGCAGGGAGAATTCACTGCCACTGCCAGAGCCCAACCCTGTACGGCTTCTTCCTTACCATGGGTGAGCCTTTGCTTGTAGGAGCAGCCACTGGACTGGGACCTTATTAACACCTGACCTCACTATAAGGACCCTCACCATCTACTGGAGTGCCTCAGGGGAAAACCCAGGACCCTGAACCCCAGAGCCCCTTCAAGGGAGCCTCTCCTGGCCATGTTCAAGAGACTGGCTGCCGCTGCCCAGCCCCACTGCTTCTCTGCCACTGCTCTGGGTTTTTCACTGCGCTGTAACCCCACATCCCCTGCCTGCCGGGACACCCGCGGCTCCTGCTACAGCTGCCGAGTTTCTCATACATTTCATTTGCTGCTTCGGGGTCTGCTCGTCGCTGCCGTTCCAGCTGTGGCTCCGAGGTTGCTGCTACAGCCCATCTCGCCATGCAGAGGGGCACCGGGACCGGCTGCCCCCGTGGGTTTGCAAAGGCAGCGCCTTTTCCATCCCGCCCGCCATTACCGCGTGCAGAAAGGCGGCTGAGCTCGCGCCACAGCGCCCCCTGCAGCCGCGGGGGAATCATCGCACCCGCCCTGCCCGGCCGGGAGCCACCAGCGCCCCTGCCGGCCGTGCCCGGAACTGCACCCAAGGGGAAAGTGCCTGCGGCCGAGAGAGGGCTGGCACTGGGTTCCTGTTCTGTTTGTTTGCCTCGTTATACATGTACATACTAGCAAAGAACTGCTGCTCCTTTTCCCATCTTTGCCTAGAACACCCTTAATTTCAAAGTCATAATAATTTGGAGGGAGGAGAGTCATATTTACCATTCTAAGAGAGGTTCCTGCCTTCCTTGGCAGACACCTGCCCTTCAAATCAAGACAATCTTTGAGTAAGAGAAAGAGCAACAGACTGACTTTCAAGGTCAGAATAATGAAACCAAAGAAAAATCTCCAAATGAGACACAAAATATGCACCTCAGCTATCACCCAGCCATGGTAATGTAAATAATACACTGACCACAAGGTGTGTCAAACAAAAACAATAAACCAAATTACTAACTTTTTCATCACCATTTGTTGGTTCCTTGGGATATTACATAATATGCCAAATTAAGAAACTATGTTAATGAATTTAGAAAAAAGCAAGACTCGGTAAAGTGGAAAGAAAGGAGAAAAAAGTGTACACAGCAATCACAAACAACAGAGGTGACATGTGGTGGGTTTGACCCTGGCTGGATGTCAGGTGACCAACAAGTCACTCCATCATTCTTTGTCTCAGCTGAACACAGCAAATAAAATATAACAAATAGCTCATGGTCAACCTAAGGGTAAGGAGAGATCCCTCACCAGTTACTATCATGGGTAAAGCAGACTCAACCCAGGGAAAATAACTGATTTTTTTACCAACCAAATCAGAGTAGGATTGTGGAGGTCCAGGAGCCTGTTACCAAGATATCTCAACCCTGGAGGGGATGACACAAGAGAAGAGAGACGCCCCTGTATATTAGGGTGAGGAAAACTGTATTCCCACAGGACTTTGCAGCCACATGTTATTAGCTTTTGGGTTCTGGTATTCTAATAGTTTGTAAACATTTATATCACCCCCCATTTACCATTTATAAACCCCTCCTAGAATGTTCTTCCTTCCCTTAACCCCCATGGACTCTGTTTGGCTCATTGTTCCACCCCTCTTATCCCACTGGTTCTCCTGGTCTTTAGCCACACCCCTGCATCACTTTCCCTTGTCCCTATTGGACCTAGACCCCCAGACTTGCCCCTTTTTCTCTGTATTTAACTCTGTGCCCTTAGCCCGATCCTGTTCTCATCCCTGAAGTCATTCCAGGCTGTTCTCATCCCTGGATCCTTTGAATAAACAGTCTTCAGATACCCAAACGAGGACCTGTCCCTTTGCTTTTATTGTCAGCAATCTCTAGTGGTGTTCTCCAGGCCCTGAGGGTGTGGATCGCTCTCATGGGTTTGTTGCAACACATGCCTTAACATAGGATAGTAAGAAAAAATCCTGGATCTTAAAGCACCTTCCCTCAGCCCTTTCTTCTTCTTTGGCTCCAATTCACCCCCAATTTCTCCCCGTTGACCCCCTGAGCAGCACAGTGGGACAGGAAATGAAGGCTGTGGTCAGTTTGTCACTCACCTCTGCCATTCTTTCCCTGTCACACTTGTCCTCTTGCTGCAGCATGTGGTCCCTACTATAGGAAACTGTTCTCCATGAACTTCTCCAATGTGGGTCTTTCCCATGAGATGCAGCTCTTTATGAACTGTTCCAGTGCAGGTCCTTTCCATAGGGTCAGTCCTTCAGGAACAGGCTGTTCCAGTGCAGGTCCTTTCCATAGGGTCAGTCCTTCAGGAACAGGCTGTTCCAGTGTGGGTCCCCAGCAGGGTCACAATTCCTGCCAGCAAACCTGCTCCAGCTACTCTCTCCAAAGATCCACAAGTCTTTCCAGGAACCTGCTCCATTGCAGGTTCTCCATAGGGTTACAGCTTCTCTCCTCCAACCCCCTGCTCTGGTGTGGGCTCCTCCAGAGGCTGCAGGTGGATTTCTGCATCCCCATGCCCTCAGTGGGCTGCAGGGCAATGCTGCCTCACCATAGGTTGCAGAGGAATCTCAGAGCTGGTGCTTGAAGAAGCTCCTGTTCCTCCTTCTCCACCAAATTTGATGTCTTCAGAGCTGTTCCTCTCACATATTCTAACTTCTCTTTCCTCTGGCCACAATTACTGTTGTGCAGCAGCTTTCCTCTCCTTCTTAAATACTTTATTCGTGAGGTGCTGCCACTGTCACTGACAGGCTCAGCCTTGGCAGGAGACTGAAACGTTATAATTTATGGCTTAAACATCTTCATGAAGGACTTTTGCCTGTTACAGCACAACTGTATAAAAGCTGCAGAGAAAACTACCATGCCCTGACTAAGGCCCTGAACTGCTTGTTGATGGAGATAAGATAAAGTAACTCAGATCTGGGCTGAGGGAAGAAGAATACATTCACAGTGAAAGCAATGTTTTTTAAGGTCCCACATGTGTTCCAAATTTTTGTCAAATTGACTGAAGTTCCCCATGGAACTGGATTTTCTGCAGAGGACGGTGTTGGCAAACAAGCTTCTTACAGAAGTTACATTCTGTAATATCTTTCAAAATCCTGCACTAACTTCAAGACTACATTCCCTTTCATAGAAATTAATAATATAGTTTATATTATTACTGTAAGTATGCTATTAATTATAATTTTTATCTAGATCCAATAAATAATATTCCTCTAGAAGATTATAGCCTTTACTTAAAACAATAGGATAATATATATACTTAAAAATTCCATGGTGCTAGTCAGTCTTGTTTCTGCTGTATGTGTTGCTGGTTTTACCCACTTGTGATGAACTTAGGTTTCAATTCCTTACACCTTGAGTGCGATGTAGTTTACCAGAGAACTTGATATGTTCCCTTTCTCTTCTCCTGGATTGGTCCAAAATTCCAGGTTTTGATGCACATCGTATCTTTTGGTTGCAAAGGATGTACATGCAAGTCTACTCCCAATGATTTGTTGATAACAATGTACCTCTTAAAACTTAAAAGAGTTCATTTTAGTACTATTGTATCAATTTCTGCAAGTTTGAGGCTTCCTTTGTGTTCCTTTCAGTTTGGAAGACAGGTGTCTGCTAGGGAGGGCAGGAGCCTCTCTCGGAATGAAAAATGTAAACCCCCCCTCCCTCTGAATTACTATAATTTTGCAATCAAGGGGCTCTCAGGCAGAGATCTGGGGATAGGAATAACAGTTCTTTACTAGTGTGTATAACAAGGCACACAAACAACAATAACTACAGCTTTAACAACAAAACAGAACCAGGGACCCCGTGACAGCTTTCTCGGCTGAGACAGGAAGGGATGGAGGAGAGGCTTTGTTTCACAAACCCCTCGGGCAGCCAGTCCTGTGCTCCTGCAGGGCTCTGAGGAACACTCAGCTGGAACAGCAGGGATGAGCTGAGATCCTGGGCTGGTGGCTGAGGTGGATCAGCAGCTCCATGGTGGTGCCTGGCACTGCAGGACAGGGGGTGCGGGGGCTCACAGAAGAAGAAGAGGAAGAAGAAGAAGAAGGAGGAGAAGGAGAAGGGAAAAGGGAAAGGGAAAGGGAAAGGGAAAGGGAAAGGGAAAGGGAAAGGGAAAGGGGGAGCCACAGGAGAGGGGCAGGAGCTGGGCAGGGGCAGAGAGAGCAGGGAGGGTCAAGGGTGTCCCCAGAGCACCCTCGGGATGAGCAGTGACTGTCCCCACACAGTGACTGTCCCCACACAGTGACTGTCCCCACACAGTGACCCTGTCCCCATCACCGTGACCCTGTCCCCATCACAGTGACTGTCCCCACACAGTGACCCTGTCCCCAGTGACCTTCCCGTGGCTCTGGCTCTGTCCCCTGCCCCAGGGCTGTCCCCACACAGTGACCCTGTCCTCAGTGACCTGCCCGTGGCTCTGGCTCTGTCCCCAGCCCCAGGGCTGTCCCCAGCACAGTCTGAGCTCGGC